GGGGGGGGGGGGGTATTGTATTTACAATATATTTATAAATACAGTTACTCACTTGTGACTTTTACTGCCAATCTTCCTTTAAAAAAACATCATAAAAGCACCATAAAAGTAGTTTGAAGTCACTTTATGTTGCCTTTTGTCATTTTTCATAGCTTGGCAAAATAAATCACAGTCCACTTTCATTGTACGGCTCAAACAATCTTCAGATAATCAGCTTTTGTTTTCAGTAGAGGAAAGAAAATCAGATTAGCATACAAATTGGGAACGACATGATGGTGAGAAATGATTTTTGATTAATTTCTCCCTTTTCGTGTGAACAATCACTTGAATGCATTATGCTACCCTTGCTTTACCAAGTGAACGTCTCTTCCACCAAATCTTGGTAACATTATACAGTCCTCAAGCTTCTGTTAATCTATTCATGTCTCCCCAGCCGTCTGAACCCAACATCGCTACGCTGAAAACCAGCGCATGTTAATCTCTACAGGACACACGCCGTGTTTACTGGAATCCCGAAGCATAGATCCCTGTTTGCCAGGACGTATTTGAGCAAATGCCATTCTTAGTTTATCTATGGTTATTTGTGAAGACAACAAAGTGTGACCAAGAACAAGAAAAAGCGACCCACTATAGCTGCGCTGGCATTTGCTTTGGTTTAATAAGGTCAAACAGTAAGTGCCAGATACCGGCAGAAGCTCTGACTTCCTTCCGTCCCCGTTGAGTGCCGGCGTGTGAATTATTCCTTTCCTCCCGCTGATTTCCAGAACGGAATATGACAGCTCTCAGCCGTCTGAGAAGCACCCAAGTGTAGATTCTGTAAAATCCCTCAAGCAAACTTGAACATTGGAGATCGATGCACCATTCTGATTGCTTTTGCTCCACTGAGAGAATGAAAAAACCGGGCAGACACGAGGCAGCCGAAATGACAGCTTTGCACAGCGGTGCCGATGGTCTCATGGCTACTGGAAAAGAGCTCTGAGCAGAGACCGTATGCACTAATTCACTTATAGGTCAGACGCTTCAGGCAATCTGTGATTGTGATGTGACAGTAGTGTAGCCTTAACAGTCACACTACTGTCACGTCAGGTACACCTGTACTTCATAGCTGCTGTGGTATGATAGTGAACATTTGAGAGTCCTGGCATCTGGAGACTGTGTGAGATTCAGTGAAGTTCGGCACAGTGATATGAAAAGAAAAAAAGTTCATGTTTAGGGATAAAAAAGTGCCATTTTGAGAATGAAAATTCAATTTGAGAAAGCGTTAAGATAATAGTAGATTGAATCACGTTTCCACCATGGAATAAAAAAATTATTTCTCAGTTTGCATCTCACAAATTACATTTTTTTTCTCAGAACTCTCTTTACATCTCACAATTCTTTTTCTCTTAATTGAGTTTATATCTCAATTTTTGCATTGAGTGAAAAATAAAAATGTAATTGCGACTTTTTTATCTGATAATTCTGACACAATTCAATTCTCTGTTTTTTTTGTTTTTTTTTTGCAATTCTGTGCTTGCATCTTGAAATTCTGAGAAAAAAAGTGTGAATTGTGAGATTTAACCTCAGAATTCCTAGAAAAAACTCTGAATTATGAGATAAAAGTATATTTTAAAATATTCATATTTATATCTGCCTATTGAAGCACAGTAAGCTAATTTACAGACTATAGAAATGCAATTGAAAATGATGCAATTGTTACGCATTAAATTGATCAAAAAGTGACAGTAAATACATTTATAATGTTACAAAAAAAATTCAAATATTCAATTCAATTCAAGTTTATTTCTATAACGCTTTTCACCATACAAATCGTTGCAAAGCAACTTTACAGCAAATTAAGTTTCTACAATATTTAGCGGTAGCTTATCAGTGGTGACTGTCAGTTAACGTACATATGGCAGAAATGTACGGAAAAATCAATTAAAGACGTAATCAAACAGACGATGAACACTATTAACACCAATTATTATATGATGCAATCAAACTAATAACAAAATTTGATAGTTCTAATAAACACTGTTGTAATTCACATAATAAATAAAGATGTTCTATGAAATAATGAGTTCATGCTTAAAACAACACAAAATATCTGCCAATGGTGTCAGAAAAATACTTTTTTTTTTTTTCTTTTTTTTTTTTTAAGTTTATTTATTTTTCTGTCTCCATTGGCAGATATTTTGTCTTTTATATTAAGCTTAAACTCACTTCATTTAGATTTTTAAGAAAACAAGAATTAATATATTAAGTCATTTTGCTACTCAAGTAAATGTCTTTTGATTTAAGAATGTTGTGATATTTGTACTGGAAAACATTCAGTTTCATTCAATTCAAACTGCCACTTCTTTTAAAGGACATAGCTATATATATATATATATATATATATATAGGAGGAGACTGGATTTTTTTGTCACTATATTTATTTCCACCTGCTCTGACGCCTAGTTTAGCACCTGGGTTGTAATAGAGGATAAATGTCAAGAACCATGTACGCAGAGTGACACAACGTAATTTCAGTGTTGTCAACATGCCAAGTGTTTGTTCTGCCTAAGCGAGTCTTTGCTGTTCTCTAAAACGAGCACGCTGTTCTGCAGCTGCCGGCCTAACTGCCTATACTGAGCATGAAGCATTGCTGCTGGCAACACGCGCTCATGAAATACAGACACATGTCCACATTATGCAAATTACATGTTCTGAACACTAATCAATAATTCAAATGATTCTCTCTAAATTATAGAAACAATCGGCAAGCCGGGCGGCGACTGATGTTTCTTACGCATGACTTTCCATTAAAACTGCATTACAAGTTTGGCATTTGAAGGATGAAACGTCCGCCTTTATACGAATCACCCTTCCTTTAATTGCATTATTACAAGGGCAATATCGTCAGCTACGCCGATTTATAACATTCGACATGGTCTCCTTTACAAAAACAGACTTGTGACGGAGCTGAAATCACACATAAGGTGAAATTTGTGTTGTAGTCAAATGTTTAAAGCAATAGTTCACCCAAAAAATGGAATTAGCTGAAAATATACTCACTCTGAGGCCATCCAAGGTGTAGTTTGTTTCTTCATCAGAATTGGAGAAATGTAGCATTCCATCACTTGCTCACCAATGGATACTCTGCAGTGAATGGGTGCCGTCAGAATGAGAGTCCAAACAGCTGATAAAAGCCTCACAATAATCCACACCACTCCAGTCCATCAGTAAACGTCTTGTGAAATGAAAAACTGTGTGTGAAAATCTTGGATGGCCTGAGGTCGAGTACATTTTCAGCATTTTTTCATTTTTGGTGAACTGTTCCTTTAAGCAACATTACCAGACAGAAGGAAAGTTCACCAAGAAGAGTTCGATCAGACAGCATGGGCAGGCTGTTAGAGTTATCAACTAGCCTGACAGTTTGCAGATGAAGCTGGCTGTTTTGTCCACCACCCGCTGCAGCAAAGCGCTGATGGATCAAATCAGGACACTCACCATGACACCCCTGGACGAGCTGCAGACGATTAGGCTTTGCAGACCGGCTTCTATTCAGTCTTCTGATTAAGGTGCACAAAGAGACGCAAGTGCCTCTTTCTGACTTCAACGTCTTACAAATCCTGCTGAAGACATTATTGGTCTGTGTTTTATGCTAATTTGAACCAATATTTGGACCAAAAAGCAGTTGAAAGAATGTTTTATGGAAAAGGTATGAAAACATGGGATTTAATCAAATGCACAATACACCATGGTTCTGACCCCAAGGCGATTAGGGAAAAGAAAAAAAAAAAACCAAATGCAAAATAATGTCCCAGAGCTCTTGTAACTTATCAAAAATATGGTAACTAAATCAGAGTTTTAGAGTTACCTTCCAGGAAAACATTACCTCTGTATTAAAGGTACTAAACACAAACAGCTTTAACTCACACTCACAGGGTGTCATGACTAAGCAGAGTTTAACTACTTTATGGGCTTGAACAGTGCCGCCGTACATGCTAAAAGAAAGAAAAGAACCTTGAATCAAACAAAATCATATTTTCTTTAGTAACAAAAGCTGCGCACCGCCTGCCCTGCTATCATTACTGCTCAATCTGCAGCATCACAGCAAAGCACATTAGATTTTACAGGATTTTCATTGACATTAAAGTTCGTGCAAATAATATAAGATGCTTCGAACACTCTGAAGTAGATAAGAGCGGTATTTGTTAGTCTCCACAATGCCAGTGGTTGCCAGGACGTTGCTACGCCATCTCTGAATTGATGAAATTATATTTTACACAAAATGTCTGAATTGAATATGATGAGATAAAAATACAATAAATAGACTAAACATCATTGTTTTGTCTTTGCTGGCTGCAAACAAAACAGCGTAACCAGATTCACAAAAGAGTTACTGTTATGAAATGATTCTCTTAATGAATAATGAACAAAAAGAAGTTACCAATTCGAATTTGTCTAACCTAATTTTGGCCAGATTTATGCATGAATAAATGCATAAATAAATAAATGCATAAATGTGTATACACATAAATACACAAATGCGTTAATAAATTAATGAATGTGTACATTTATAAATATGAATTAATAAAATGCATACATGCACAACTGCATAATTAAATACATACATAAATGCATGCCAATATGGCAAGAAAAATCATATAAATACTCTTAATGTCTTGAACAAAATCTAAACTATGTTAAGACATACGTCTCATTAAAAGTCTTAATATATTATGCAATTGTGCTTTTGTGTAAATTTATATTTTTACCAAAAACCAAGACAAAAATACAGATTATGAAAATGAAATTTTGTTGTGCGTGCATTGATAGAATTGTCTACAATCATAGATTAGTACTTAGTGTTTATTTTCAGATAAGCTTGACTAAATCTGAACTGTTGCATTAAATGTTTAGTGAACCATATTTTGATGTTGTTGCACCTGTCCTTCAGGTTTGACGTTGGCATCATAGTTATTTTTGATCTACCTAATCTACTTCACCTTTATAGGTTAGGAAAATCACATGTCTCTCATCAAATCTTTTATGGGGGTGTCCACAATGTTCAGAGCCACATTTGGCCCTAGCAAAGAGATATGAAGATAACATTGTTTTTGACACTGAGGGGCGGCATATACGCTCCAGCAACAAGCAATCAATGCACAATTTATATCTCTTCCACAGACAGGTGTGGAGCAAAGCCCTCGCAGTGGGGAGAAAAAGACACGCAAATCAAGACACTCAAATTCACAAAGAAAACCAGCAGAGAAATAAACACTCAACACACAATCCATCTTCCCATGCTTCCCTATAAAACAGCATGATTATTCCCTGGACATGACAATACAAAAGCCTGCTTCATTAGGCATTCCCGAGCTGAACGAAAGCAGTTGTGATGTTTTGTGAAGGCCAGACAGCTGCGGCTTTTATTAGTGGACCTTGCTGTTTATATGGCACATTCTGATTACATGCACAGAAACCCAGCCTTCAGGGGGTGAAAGTGTTGGGGGGGAAAAAAACAGCTAAAGTCCCCTTGTAAAGCCGAGTCCTCTGAGTAATCTGTGTTGCCCTGGCTTGTAAAGTCTCTGGGCTGCAAGTAACACAGAGTTGTTACTAACATGACGATCAGGAGCCCTGCAACTCATCTACATAAATAAACAGCAGATGATGGCGCTGTCCTGAGCTGTATCAGAAAAATGTGAGGTCTTCATATTGAGACTAATATATATATATAATTATATATAGACATTATACAGTAACATTTCTCAATAAAGTTCTTAATATGAAATTTTGCTTCTTAGTAAATGTATATTTTTACTGGAAAACAAGACAAAAACACTGGTTAACATGTCATTATAAATTGCATACATATATTATTAAATAAACATCTACTCTTTGTTGGCTTGACAAAATTATATAAAATTATATAAAGACATTATACAGTAAAATTTCTGTCAATAAATGCCTTAATAATGAATGTTATACAATTTTGCTTTTCAGTAAATATTTATTTTTTTAATGAAAAACAAAACAATAATGTTTAAGATATCACAATAAATCAACCAATCTTAATATATTTTAATTAAATATAAATTATATACATTGCACTATAAAAAAAATTGTCATTAAATGTCTTAATGTTTTTTTTTTTCAGTAAATTTACGTTTTTACTGGAAAACAAGACAAAAGCACTGTTGCTTTGAGAAAAGAGTAAAAAATATCTCCATTTTATTCCCATAGATCACTCAAGAACTATCTAAATGTAAAATTCCCAAAATAATAATAATAAAAAAATCAATTTAATTCAAGATTTTGAATTCAATTATAGACATTACACTGTACAATTTATGTTATGAAATGTCTTAGCAATTTTGTTTTTCAGTAAACACAGTATATTTTTACTGGAAAGCCACTGGAAATACTGATTAAGATGTCATGATAAATGACAGATATAGTATTAATTAGACACATAATGTGCATTTTTGCTCTTCATTTTGTTGCTTTATTCCCAGAAAATCACGTCAGCTACTGAACTCATAAATGAACGTCCCGTTATAACCCCTGCAGAATAGACCAACTTAAACCAGAGATTTCATGCTGGTCTAGGCTGGTTTGATAGTTTAGTGTTGTGCTGGTCTAGCTAGCTGACCAGTCATGCAATTCAACCACAAACCTTGTTGCTAAAGCAGCTGACTCTGGTGACTTTTCCAGTAAATCAGCACCTAAAACACAAAATGCATGGTCTTTTCAAAAGCCATGTCATTCCTCTGATTATCTCTCTAAGATGAAATAACTGTTTCCTCTGTAGCCGTTCTGCTTCAGGCAAACAGATGTAACATTGAAAAATAGATGTCCTGAGACCATTAGAATAACATTTACTTCATAGAACGATCACTTAAAAGTCTTACTTTGGCAATAAGATGGCATAAACAGCATATGCGCAAGTCAGGCTTTGAAGAAGCAGGTTAGTTATCTCACGACGGCCCCTGTAGAAGCACAATCTTCATTAACATCAGTGCCAGTGTTCAGCGGCATGCTGGGATGCCCAGACTCTTGCGGCCCTGATGATTACACTAATTCAATTTCCTGGAAGGCAGCTATTCATTCAGATGTGCCGCTACATTTGGGAAAGCCGAGATGAACGGAAAATGTGCAGAATAATAAGAGATCCTTTCATAAAATTCTCAAAGTCGACGATGAAAATGACCTCTGAGGTCCTGGGAGAGAGACGCCGCAGAATGCCTGATTCTGAGAACAGAAAGGTTCTTCAAACGGACGGCCGTGTCTTTTGGGAGGACTTTCTGAGCGAGAACTCAACTAACCTCTCGCAGCAGGAGCCAAGCAAAACACGCCGAGGTCAAACACTCATCACAATCTTTAAAGCAGCAGTCAGAGTCGATGAATATTTCAAATGACTGGCATAAATACGCCTTGCTTTGAAAGCACAAGTTCAGCAGAAATAGTTCTCTGAAAATAATATAATAATTTAGTTAGCATAAAATACTGACCGGATAGAATGAAAACTATTACTAAGATGACTGCTATCAGCTATCTTACTTTTTAATATTTTTTATTAAGTAATATTAATATTAAAATATCAAGATTCTACAAAAGCTAAACAAAAATAAATTATTTAATTAATTAAAATTATATTAAGTAACTTTCACCATTCTTGATATTCAAACTACAAGATGTGAGACAACCAACTTATTATTATTATTACACTTTCTTGGTGCTTTTTTGTTTTTTTCATAGCTTGACAGTGTCTGTCCCCACTCACACTGTACGGAGAAGAACAGCTGCTTTTTATCTCCTTTTTGTATTCCCCTTATGAAAGAAATGCACAATGGTTTGAAATGACCTATTCCAGACCGATTCTGGACTTTTACCACATTGAACTCTATCTGGATGTGATTCACACCCCTCAACAACACTTCAACACATCCCAGGAATACAGCTTACCTTTGGAAACCAATAACCAATTTTCATAAAGGGTTTAATCTCTCATTCGACAAAACCTGGAAGACACAACATCCTGTTCCTGCACTTTCCCATAAGCTGCTTTATCTTTCTCCACAAGAAGCTGAAGGAAAGGGATTTCTCACATTCTCTCGCATTGGCAGAATGCAAATGCCGCTCTTCTCATGAATATGTACGATGGCACCAGCAAGAATAAATTCTTTCTTTTAACCTGACGGACGAACAGGCCATCTGAGTACGACAGGTCTTCTCATGCCGTTCGCCCTCTTGATCACGCGCCGGGAGTCCTTCAGTGATGCACTTCAGCTCCAATGGATCAAAAATACGCATGTGTACTGCAGCGAGAATTAAAGACGTGCTTCCTTTCAAGTGAGTGGATAAATCACTTCCTCTCAAACTCTCACGGCCTCTCTTTCTCATTTTCTGACTCTCAGTCAGTCCTTTATAATCTGGAACTAGACAATTCTCTGTTTTCTACACTCATTACAGTATTAAGAAATAAGGCAAAAAAGAAATAAGAATTGCATAGCAACCACCAAGAACACCCTAGCAATACCCTAGCAACTGCATGGCAACCATTATATTATTAAATTAATTAAAATCACAAATTAAATATGTAAAAATTAATGTAATAATTAAATGACAATATAATACATTATAAATATATAAATTATATATATTCCAGATACTCTAACATTACATATTATATAATATTAGAAAAGTATTACGAAATAAGACAAGAAATGCATACAAATTGCATAACAGCACCTTAGCAACCATTTAGAATAACCTAGCAACCACTTAGCAACACCCTTATATAAACCACCCAGAATACCCTTGCTATAGCAACACCTTAGTAACCAACAAGAGTACCCTTGTAACTGCTTAGCAACACCCTAGCAACCACCAAGAATAGCAACCACCCAGAACACTTTAGCAACCACAAAGCAACAACCTAGCAACCACCTAGGACACTAGGGCTGCACGATTAATCGAATGCGATTGTCATATGCATTTTGTTAGTAAAGCCGGTTCTGTAATCAGCAGGAAATCATCATTGCGCGATTATGAAATCGAAGAAATCGTTCGCGATAATGACAGCTGTTTGCATAGC